TTCCCTGTCTTCTTTTGGCTAATTCCCTGTCCACGTGTATAATCCACTGTCTTCATTTTCATAATCTATTTCCAAACATCAAGTGGAATTAGTCCAATGTTCAGTGGGATTAATTCACTTTGTGCATTGTGTCAATTACTGGATTAAGTTAATCTGCATGGGCCTTCAGAGTTTACATTGGGTATGTTTAATGTTATTATTGTCATCTTGGTTTTGAATTCATGCAGGTAATTAGTGTCTCAGTTAACTCTTTTTTTTTTTCTACTTTTTTTCCCTATTATAGGTAATATTCTGTTGGTAAACAGTGATTCTAAATGCAACCGTCTTATGTTTATTGACTTTGAATATGCCGGCTACAACCACAGGTTTGTTTTGCGGATTGTCCCGAAGCTGCCAAACCTAAACATTTCATTATTTGCAGAATATCAGTACATATTACTTCCTGTACAGAAGATCAGGTTTTTCTTTTTCTTCTACTTCTCACATATTTCATATGTAAGAGGAGTTATTTACATTGTGTATCTGTTGCAGAACTGTTTGCTGTCTCTCTCTCTCAGTGTGCACACTAGAATATATATATATATATATATATATGTGAGAGCAAATCAAATAACGCAATAAACTGATTGTGTTTGTATTACATAGGTGGCATGTGCTATTGTGTATTATTGCATGTTTGTTTTCATGACTACAGATGTTGCACGCCCTTGTATTTATCTACCCTTAGTAACATTGAATCGCAGAGTTAGGGAGTCAACCACCCTCAAAATTGAAAGTGAGAAAAAAGTGCCTTTTATTTACTTGATTGAACTCACTTTTGATTTAATTTGATTTAATTATTTCATTTTAATTGTAACTAATGATTTGTTTTAGCGCTGGAGCTGTTTTCTTTGGGTATGACTAAATGTTAATATGAAGTTAATGAAGATTTGTTATTTTACAGGGGTTTTGATATAGCCAATCATTTCTGTGAATGGACCTTTGACTACACGACGACAACCCCGCCGTATTATAAGTATGATCCCGAAAACTACCCAAATAAAGAGCAGCAGTTGCGATTCATCCGAGCTTATCTTAATAGTTTTGATAATGCAATGAATGACCTGGAAAGTCGTGAAACTGAGGAAGTGAAAATGCTAACTGAAATAAAAAGGTACAAAATATATTATGGGTTTAACATCCATTGAACACCACCCAATATGGCTAACTGGCTGTCATGAAAAGTTGAAAAATTTATATTCAATCTTGCAATCAAACAATGCCTACTACAGTTTCTCTGTCATGACAGGGATGATTTCAATCAAACGTTACAATTTTTTACTCGTGTTTACCCTGTTATGTGTATATGCATGTGTGTGTGCGTTTATCTTATCAATGTTGTGACAACACCTATAAAGTGACGACCCTCACTATTTTAATATTTAATCAAATTGAAGTCAAGTTTGCGTAGCTTT